GTGGCTCGACTCGAAAAACAAGTAACTGACATGGCAGACCACATGGACGATTTAGAGAACCGCAGCCGCAGATGTAACCTTCGCCTGGTCGGGCTTCCCGAGGGCACGGAGGGAAATGATGTTGTCGCCTTCATGGAGTCATGGCTCCCCTCCTATCTCGAGCTCACAACTAAAAATGGGAAGATCAAACTAGACCGCGCTCACCGCTCTCTAGCACTGAGGCCGGGCCCCAGCCAGCGCGCCAGACCCATCATTATGAAGCTTCACAACTTTGCTGATAAACAACGTGTGATGGCCGCAGCTCGGCGCCTGGCTACGCAGCCGAACCAACCAACAAGTCGGATCAAAGTCTCCTTCTTTAATGATTATTCAGCGGCGGTAGCCAAGAAACGCAAGGCTTTCGACGAGGTGAAAAGCTGCCTGAGGAAGAAGAATGTGGATTATGCGCTTCTCTACCCCGCCACACTGAGGCTGTTTGCCAACGGCAAGGAGAAGAGATTTAACACACCGGAGGCAGCTGCGTCCTACGCGGACTCGCTGCCCTGAATCCCCGTAACCACCGGAGTACTCCTTTTCTTCACACTATGCCTTAATTAACCGGTGTGAGTACTTGCCGAATCTAGGCGTATATGACTCTTTTTTTTCGTCCTCGCTGCTTATAAGCGACCAGGTGAAATCTTCCACCCCATCGGGCACCGGACGGACTGTGTTTTCGTCTATGGGTAGGCGTGAGTTACGCGCGTGCAATGCCCTTCGGCTTTCCCGACGGGCAGGAGGAGATTGGTTTTTCCCTACATGTTTAGTAGGGCTGTTGCCAAATCACTGTTCTTTGAATGTTCCGTCACACAGCTCTTTCATGCCTTTTTAATTTTTATTTTATTTATTTATTTTTTCAACCAGGGTGTGGTGAACCCTTTGGCTCAATATGCTTTGTGTGATACATGAATAAGTCTAATAATGAGTAGGCTGCGAATATGCACCTGGAATGTACGAGGGGTTCACAGCCCTATTAAGAGGAGGAAGATATTTACTTGTCTAAGAAAGGACGGTGTAGATGTTGCTATGTTACAAGAGACACATCTTGATAATAATGAACACTTGAAGTTGCAACAAGGATTATATGGACAAGTGTTTTTTTCATCCTTCACTACAAGAAGTAGAGGAGTGGCAGTGTTGATTAGGAAAAATGTACCTTTTGTAGTAACTGATTGCGTTAAGGATCTGAAGGGCCGCTACGTGATAGTCAAAGGGATTTTGCAAGGCCAAAATATCTTATTACTGAATGTTTATTTTCCACCTGCCCACCCAACTACCTTTCTTACCAAAATGTTTCTGGAATTAGCTCCATTTCTTCCTAACTCTACCGTTATTATTGGTGGTGATTTCAACTTAATGTTAAATCCGCTTATGGACAGATTTCCACACAGCATTGCAACTCCTTCTCCTCAGGCCAAAGCGCTTCATGCTCTATGCGACGAGTTTGGACTTGTGGATGCTTGGAGATATACTCACCCCTCCGATAAGCAATACACATTTTTTTCGGCTCCGCATAGGTCCCAAACTAGAATTGATTACTTTTTTCTCCCGAAAACTGACTTAGGTTCAGTAGTATCGTGCGACATAACAAGTATAATCATCTCAGATCACGCTAGGGTAATCATGGATCTCGATCTTAAAGCTGCGCTTCATAGGTCCCGCCACTGGAGGCTTAATACCATTATTCTTAAGGATGAGGAATTTACCTCTCACTTCTCTGCAGAATTTAAAGCGTTTTTGGATATCAACACCCCCTCAGCTACTACTGCCTCTGTTTTGTGGGAAACATGCAAAGCTTATGCGAGGGGCCTAATTATTTCGTATTCTGCGACAAAGAAGCGACAACGGATGGAGGAACAAAAATCTTTAGAGAGCGAATTGATGGATAAGGAGAAAACATATATTGCCTCCCCATCACCACCATTATGGCAAGAAATAACCGCACTCAGGTCAGCGCTGAATTGCCTTCTTACCAGAGATGCAGAGAAGAAACTTAAATACACCAGACAGAGGTTCTACGAGCATGGAGATAAGGCCGGTAAATGTCTGGCGTACTATGTTAAGAAGCGCGCAGAATCGAATACCATTGCAGCGATATCTGATGAAGGTGGCCACAAGATATATGAAAACAAACTGATAAATGACTGTGTTAAGAAGTTCTACGAAGCCTTGTACTCTTCTCAACAAGTCCCGGAGGGGGTGCAGCTGATGCATAATTTCTTCACCCAATTCGACTTACCAAATTTGTCAGAGGAACAGAAGACTGCCCTTAACAGCCCTATAACTAAGACCGAAGTGTTTAAGGCTATTAAATCACTGCGAAGTGGAAAGTCGCCAGGGCCTGATGGCTTCTGTTGTGAATTTTATAAACAGTTTCGGGATATTATTGTGGAACCGCTTCTTGATATGTTCAACCACTCCTTCATTACGGGTGAATTCCCGCAGACACTGAAGGAAGCCAACATTTCCCTAATTTTAAAGAAAGGGAAGTGTCCTGATTTGTGCGGATCCTATAGACCTATAGCCCTCTTGAATGTAGATAGGAAACTGCTTTCTAAAATTCTGGCCACCCGCTTAGAAAATTTTTTACCTGTGCTGATAAGGGAGGACCAGACAGGCTTTATAAAGGGTCGAAACTCAGCCACCAATGTTAGACGCTTACTGAACGCTATTGTAGCTTTCAAGCAAAAATCTATTGACGGCCTGGTGCTTTCTCTCGATGCGGAGAAAGCATTTGACAGAATTGAGTGGTCTTATTTGTTGTATACTCTGGGCAAATTCGGCTTAGGGGAGAATTTTATAAAATGGGTCAAAGTTATCTACAATAATCCACAGGCAGCAGTCCTGACTAATGGACTTAGGTCTGATTACTTCAACACTCATAGGGGAGTTATGCAGGGCTGCCCCTTATCGCCCCTTCTATTCGCTCTGGCCATAGAGCCTCTTGCTGAGGCCATAAGGGCGACGCCCACAATACGTAGTTTAGAGATTGGACAGCTGTGTCATAAAATAACCTTATACGCGGACGACATCTTGATTCTTTTGAATAACCCTGTAACATCCGTACCCAGTCTCATTGAGGTGATTGACAGGTTTAGCCATTTCTCTGGCTATAGAATCAATTTGGCTAAGTCAGAGGCCATGCCTCTCGGTACTCTTTTCACAATGCCGGCTACTGTTCCTTCCTTTCCTTTTAAATGGTCTCCTAATGGATTTGTGTATTTGGGGATCTTTATTACCCCGTCTCTCGACCAATTGTACAAAGCCAACTTCACACCCTTATTTGGCAAACTCAAACAGGACCTAGAGCGGTGGGCGTCACTTCCTGTCTCCTGGCTAGGACGCATTGCCCTGATCAAAATGAATGTGCTGCCCAGGCTATTGTATCCTATCCAAATGATCCCCGTCTTGTTCTCTAAGAGAGTACTGAAGGACATAAATGGTTGGCTCACCTCTTTCATCTGGAACAAGCGCAGACCCAGACTCAAGATGGCAGTGTTGCATCTGCCAAGCTCCAGGGGCGGCTTGGATCTACCTAATATTAGATTGTATCAGCTTTCTGCCCATTTAAGATTTGTGAGCGACTGGGTTAGGGGTAAAACCTCAATCTGGTCGGATATTGAGACAGCTCTGTCACAATGCAAACTGAGCGATCTATTATTTTGTAATGATTTTAACGGAATTAAGGCCCTTTGTACAAATCCTGTAACAATCAACACCCTAAAAGCGTGGCGAATTGTCCGCCGTCTTGAGGGAAGATCGAGAATAACATCAACCTTTACCCCTATAATGAATAACCCTGCTTTCCCTCCGGGTTCTTTGGACCCCGGCTTTCAACGATGGTCTGATAAGAATATTAAGTCTCTTGGTGACCTTTTCTCGGGTGGTGAACTCATGTCGTTTGAACAGCTTACCAACAGTTACGGCTTGCCTAGACAGGATTTCTTTCGTTTTTTGCAAATATGACACTATATCACTCACAATACAACCCTTGCTGAGCACCCTGAAGTATCTGATGTTGAGAGGGTTTTGTTTGGGCAACAGCTGACGGTGTCTCTGAGTTCATTTTACCATGTGCTTAATGCTTTGACTACCACTGATGCGCAGGGGATTAGAGGTGTGTGGGAGAGGGAACTGTTGGTAACCATAGATGAAGATAAGTGGGATACCGTTTGGTCTCTCGCAAAAAGGATTTCAATTTGTACTCGGACAAGAGCAATCCAATTTAAGATTTTACACAGATTACACGTATCCCCTCACCGCAGACACCTCTTCAGCCGCTCTCTTTCCCCTGTGTGTCTTAAGTGCAAAACTGATGTAGGGACTTTAACTCACTGTTTTTGGTCCTGTTATAAGCTTCAAGAATACTGGGCTGACATTACAGGTGAACTGGGGAAAATCTTCCACGTTGATATAGAGATGGACCCTTTGTCCCTGATTCTAGGTCTTCCAAGTGACCGCCTAAAAGCGGCGGCCAACAAAAGATTGTATAACACTCTAACATTTGCAGCCAGGAAAAATATCCTCTTACAATGGATCAACGATAGGACTCCCACTGTCTGTGGCTGGCGCAAAATAGTTTTTGAACTGATTCCTCTGGAATACCTCACACACGTTATACACCACAGTGTGGGTCAGTTCTATGGGATGTGGCACCCCTTTTTGGACTATATTGGACCGGACCTTTCCGCTATCTTATTCAAAGGACTACTACACACGTGATCACCACCCGGGCGCTGTAAGACTGACTCACCACCTCTTGTATGTTATATTTTGTATTTTGTATCTTGTATTATGCCTTATTTAAGAGCTGTTGTGTACGTTTTGTGTTTGTACTGTTTTGTTGTTCCGTGTCTACTGTCGAGACACTGTCGTGTTAAAGGAAAATCTGCAATAAAAACAATGATGAAAAAAAAAAAACCTGTACAGCTACAACTATCACCCCGCTGCATTCACGCTAAATAAAGCAATCACATTTCATTTTGTTTCGGCGCTCTCTGGGTCCTGCTGGGCTGCGCTCATCTCCGTCTCCTCAGCTTCAGGCTGCTCCATCTCTGCCGCTGAGATGCTCATCTGCTCCTGGTTCTCTATGTTAGTTTGGTTACGCTCTCGGTCTTTAGCTCTCTTTTCTTTCTCCAGCATGTGGTAGTTGTAGATGTTCATGACGAAGAGAAAAAGCCCGCCAGTCGTGATGACTGAGCCACACATGAGGAAAAGGTACTTGTAGTCGCCAAAGATGTCTACCAGTAACCCTGTGTGGAGGAGGCCAGAAAGAATATTTAAAATTAATCAAAGAAAACACAGCACAGTGAGAGTATAGCGTCTAGACGGCAAGTTTGAAGGTGAAGAGGAAGATCAGACTCAGATATTGCTTATGAGTGCGTGCAAGAGAGCGAGAGTGAGCATAGGCCAATTTGAGAAGAGCCATCTCGGAAATGACGGGGCCATTACACCCTTCTTGGCTCTCCTGAATTGCCGGAAATGCAATTTGGATGGCTGCTACCAAAACGAATCAGAAGAGAGGCATATTCTCAGAACCATAAATATCCAGCTCAAGTCTGCAGAAAAGTGACAAATGTGGTTTAGATCAGATTTCAGCCTGCGGCTTTTCTGAGCCCCAAGTCCACAAGTCGCCCCGACCCCCGTTTTCCCCTCCAGACACGGATCGATAGGCGAATGTCGCTATCTCTCTCAGTGTCGGCATCTAGGACTGTCCACCTCACTGCATTACAATCCCCCTTAAAGCCGTATGGAATCCTGGCAGCTCGCCTCAGAAGCTGAAGTATTTTGAGCAGGATTAGTTTCTGTTTATTTTCTCTTGCTCCTAGAGTCTTCCCTTCTCTTTCCACTATTAAACATCTAGTTAGTAAAGATGACTGTGTTTATTCATCAGGCCAGTTTTATAAAATTGATGTTTGTCAAACATATTAGGAAGCACATTTAGTACAAACATGCTACCGTCTCCTTCTGAAACCAATTAAAGATGATGTTAAACTATAAGGAAATTAAACTGATTCCCTTAGCAGATCTCCTTAACTATACCACCTGCCATCTTTGCAGTGGAAGATTGTGTTAAAATAATGTTTGTGTGACTGAATGCAATGTACTGTACTATACTAGGAGGGGGTCACTTTGCATTTGGATCAATTTCAACCATCTCAATGCCGGCTGTATTATCTGATTGATAGCACTCATCTGGTGCCTGTACTCCAATGACCATCACCCTCATTAAGACAGCCCTTGATTGGCTAAGCAGTAATTAAGTCCATCTGGCATAGTCACCTCTTTTTTAATGTATTCACAGCTTAATTATGGCCCAGGTACAGGACTTTAATGACGAGAGTTTGAACTGAGCGTCATTAAACACCCAAAGCAAAAGGGTAATTACACCCGCTTACCTCACTTCCTCCTAATTGGATTGACCCGAAGGTTTGGGGGAGCAGTAACAAGCAGAATAGGGGAGACATAACGATTGAGCCCTCTGGAGGAGATTGTTAGACGTGCAGGGAGGCACTTATTTACCCTATTAAATGAGCGCCTCGGAACACGGTCGCTCTAGACTAACTGGGGGGCCTGTAACTTTTCACCTCATTAAAAGTCAGGTTGGAGGCAAAGGACGCGTTTGTCAGCAGGATGATATTCACAGCTGATTAAGTCATGTTCAGCTAAACTACTGTACATCCTCACCTTGTTTATGTAGGACATTAGGCCTGTATGAACACTGGTGAACAAGTTGAGCAACAACAGAGAGGATGGCTTGCTCACTGCAATACAGTATGTGTTATTGACAGACATCACCAAAAATGATAAATACCTTTCAAAACCAAATTTCTGAAAACACTAGGGAGCGTACACCCACAAGTATTGTAGTCTATCCTTACATGCATGAAGAAAGATGGCCACAAGTTAAGAAAAAAGTTACATGTAGGAGATGGTAACTAATTTATCGGACAAAATAGGTCTGCCTCGACTTGTTAAGAAAAGCAGTAAGAGTCGTGGAATAAATGATTTAAAAAAAGCATCATTTTTTTTGACAAAAGGAGGAAATACTTTGACTGATATTGCAAAATCAACTCTAGGCTAAAATGGCTATTACATTATATCTCATAGTAATGTTAGTAGCTTTTTTCTTTTTGTTTTACAGGGACAATGAGCCAAAATGCTGAACAGGTGGTCAGTGTAGTACTGTGTGCTAAGGTTGGGGCATATGTAAAAATTTTCCAGCCGACATTCGTCAATCCAATAAATGACGACGGGCGATATATTCGAGCAGGTGACTTTTTGATGGGCGGGGGAATGTAATCACGCACCAACTGATTTAAGCATTTAAAATTTATTTGTAAGTTTCATTTGGAGGGAATACTTTACCTTCTTTTCTTGTTTGTTTCAGTATTAATATAGCTACTTTTTGGATTATTGAATCATTTATTTATTTGAGATGCACTGAATCACACAAAAGACTTTACGTCTGAGGGTTTGGGTTTTTTTTAATGTTCGCTTGAAGAGATATTTTGATTTTTAACTTACTTTTTGTTTAATTTTGTATTGGTTGTTTGGTTGAGTGTGTAAGACAGACAAACACTGGACCGACCTGTAAACACGGTTATAGTGGAAAAAAGAATCCAGTTTCTCTTTGTTTCCCTCCCCACCATTGTGTTTGTTAGTTTTTTTTTTAATTTAAATAAAATGTTTTTGTTTTTTCTGAACATAGGCTACTGCCGTTCTTTCTTTCTATTATGAGTTTAAGTAAATGAATCGCTGCATTTGGGTGACTCTGAGGAGGGGGGGTTTGTTCGCAGCTGGAATACGGTGCTGCTAAAACAGCGCTATTATTTTTTCCATTGACTGCTTTTATTAGCTTCAACCAACATTATTAGCAAACTTACTTGTGGGCAAATAAATAAATTGCTCTTGTAAAAACGATCAAAAGCTTTTACAAGAGCGGTGGGTCCAATCGCCCAACCTTACTGTGTGCTTCCTAATGTGACGTTTATACACTATGATGTAGATTCATGCATAAGTGAATCAGTCTTAAAGTTTGGCATTGTTTTTTCCCCATCAGTTTTGCAACATGATTTTATAACTGCAATGAAAACCAACAATACCACAATACAAACAATACCACCCTAACTTTACCTCGTAAAGCCTCAACAATGAAATATCTGTGGATGTTACAGTGGGCTGCGTTTATAGATATATTTCTGGCACTGCAGTGAAAAGCTGTCACAATAGAATCGTGCCCGCTTTTAATTGACGGCCTGAGCATCATGGGCATCATACACTCGTCTCATGTGCACAGAGATTCTCTGAATCTGTTGATGATAGTATGTACTGTAAATGATAAGATATTCAAAGTCTTCACAATCTGATGTTGAGAAACATTAATCTGAAATTGTTCCACAATATAGACACAGTTTGCTTCTTACTGGTAAACTGCCCATCTGTATTTCTGAGTGCCTCACTAAGACGCTCTTTATACCCAACCTGTTGCTATTGCAAATGTTCTTCCAGCTGTGGTTAAAGTCAGACTGTAAATAAAATGCAGCTTTTTTTTTCTCTTATCTTTAAATGAAGCCTGGATTTGCCCCAGATGCTCCATTATGTCATGAAAGCCTGTGCCCATGAGGATAGATGGCTTCTTTCCAGCAGGAAATCACCATGACGAACTGCATCTTTGTGTGGGCGTCTCATACAATACAAAACATCCATACTCCGTGATAATGCGGCTCTGTCTTACAGGAATGATACTGTTACCAAGCTTTACTGCAACATAATGCACAGCCTGTGAATGAAAGAGATAAACAAACAAATATTGTTTGCAAGGCTGCTCTCGCTTGAAAGCGGTTATTTCCTCTGTAATGGTGGAAATTTCTCTTTTCCCCAAGTGTTTCTGCATGTTTGTAAGTATATATTACCTTGCTCTTTGCCTCAGTTGTAGAAAGAAGCAGCGTAAAGCAATCTTAAGTGATCTAAGAGTAAACATGTGTACTTGTGTAAGAGAAAGACAGAAAAAGGATTATGTATGAATGAAGGATGTGTTACCTGCAGCAGGTGGTCCCAGCAGCATGGGGAAGCACTCCACGATCGTGACAAGTCCAACGGCGCTGGGGAAGCGCTGATTTCCCATCAGATCCATGAGGCATTCAAATATCAGGGCGAAAACCATCCCAAACCCCACACCAAAAAATACTGCGTAGACCACCAGGAGGGTATAGCTCCTCATCAGAGGGCACAGCAAATGGCACGTTCCATTAAAAACCATGGCAAAGCTGAAGAAGTACTGAATTCTAGGCCTGATCCACTTGCTGTTGGCTACCAGGCCGGTGCCGGGTCGAACAAACATGTCAACAAAGCCCATAATGGAGAGCAGGTAGGCCGCAGAGTACTTCTCAACACCTTGGCTAACAGCATAGGTAGACAGGAACACAATGGGTGCATACGCTCCAAAGATGAACATGACATTTCCTATTAGGTAAATGACAAAGCCCCTGTCCCTGAAAAAGGACAGATCCACAAACTTCTTTGTGTTCTTCATACAGCTTCCTTTTATCTTAGTCTTGCACTTATTTGGCCGATCCACGTTTTGCTGCGGTGCACAAGCGAGTGTCTTACAAACAGGTCGCATGAGGGCTCCAGCAACACAACAGTTGAGCATCAGACCCCCCAGGATAAGGAGGCTTCCTCTCCAGCCATATGTGCCCAGTAGATATTGGTTAAGAGGAGCCAGGAAACAAAGGAACACTGGACTGCCAGCCATAGCAAGTCCATTGGCTAAAGGACGCCTGGCCAGAAAATATTTACTGATGATGGTGAGAGATGCATTCAGGTTAAAGGCGAGTCCACAACCTGCATGTAGAAAGATTGAAAACATCTCAGTCACATTCCAAAAACCCTCAGGAAGAAAAACCCTACTGAACCTGAGCTCCAAAGGGTACTTAATTAAATTAAGACTAAATCTACCGGCTGCTCATTAAGGTTCCATCTCATTTCACTTTTGCCATCTAAAATCTCATTACAGGACTCTGGAATTATTTCAGAAATAATTTCTCCATTCAAGTAGAAATAAATTGGAGAGCCTGGGTAATACATTTACTCACTTGCCTTTCTATGCAGAAATTTTTAATCTAATTGGACCTTATTTTGAAGAAGATGAAGAGTTACAGTTAGATAGCTACGGTGTTTAGAATTTCTCCCTCTAATGTCAGGGTATTCTTACAATGCATAAAGTTTTTGTTGTTTGGTTGTTTTTTTAATGCATTTAAATGGGGATTTACTATATTAGGCTTTTAGGGGGACATAAAAAGTGTAATTTAGCAATTTTTTCTTTTCTAATGAGGAATTTCACATTATTTTGACTTTAAATTAAAAAGACTGACTGCAATCCCAATAAATGTGACATCTACAAGTCACCGAATTATGACACTGTCCCCTAAAACTTAAGAGGAACACTTAATCATCACAGTATAATAACATATGTTAAAGCTGTTGCCAGACTTGTTTTGGTGCAAGTGAAAGTGACAACAGGTTGTCTTCATTGGAAAGGCAACCTCCAAAAAGCCACATGGCACCATTTAGTTGTAATCCAGCTCCTCCAGGATGGCACATCACCTTCTCAAAATGGTTTGCTGTGTCTCCCAGCACAGTCTCAAGAGTGTGGAGGCCATTACACAAGGAGACAGAGCTGTAAAGGGGTGCCAACCCAGCAGGAGTGGTGTCGGCTCCTTTGTATGGGAAGGAACAGGACCCAGCAAAATGACCTCCAGCTGGCAGCTCATGTGCATGTTTCTGACCAAAGTGTCATAAACAGATTCCATGAAGTGTTCATAACCAGCACCGTGCAGCTCCAATGGCATTCGCCAGAGAACATCAGAACTGGCAGGTTCGCTGAGAGCTCATCTGACAGATCTGAAAGAGTCTGGAGATGCTATGGCAAACCTGTGGTCTGTGGCCACCACATGCAAAACAGTTTCTACGTTCCTGGTACCCGTTTTAATGCATAACAGTGTGTTTTAAATGATCACGGAACCCCAAATCATGACGTACCAAAAATGGTAACAGAGGAATTTTCCATGCATTTGTGCTGTCACACCTGGATTATTGTATTGCCTTATTTACAGGCTTAGATAAAACATCTTTAACGCCTCCAAGCAATGCAAAATGCTGCAACCACACTAACACATTCTAGTAAATGAGCTCACATTAACCCTGCTTTATCATTTTTAATTTGGCTCCCAGTTGACTTTAGAATTTGTTTAAAATTTCTTGTATTACATACGGACTAAATGGACAAGATCCAAACTATATATCTTGTCATCATTTTGTGTGTGAAAAGCACTATAGAAACTATTTAAATGACGCTCTTAGTTCAATTATAAATATGTACTACCATCAAAATGTCCTAGAAAGTGTTGAGATTAAATTATTTGAAGTGCCTCATTTTTATGCTTTATATTAACTAAAATGCCATATATATAGCCATATATAGTGTAGTATTAAGTGGACACAGCCCTGAAAATAAAGGCATTAGATTACATGTCCTTGGGGGATAGAATGCTGTAGACTCTCGCTCACGCTTGCCTGGGAGAAAGTAGATAACAGGGGACCACCTTCTAGTAGAAAGTTACTGAAACACTGTTGTTTAGACTAGAGAGGGACCAGCAGATTGATTGTTTGATTTTAACTGATTGTTTATTCTGGGAAAACCAGGTGTGGGATATTAAACTGTTTTGTGATGCATTATACTGCTGATTTATAAGAAATACTCTTTCCAGAGAATCATGGCCTTATTTTTCTGATTAGAAAGAACAGAACATACTGCACAGGAAGGCAAGGTCATAACTTACGCTCACTGAGAAAAAGAAAGAATCTGAATGTTTAGTTTGGAGGGGGGCCGAAGCTTTGAGAATGTGAGAATCGGTCAGACACGTCGAGATTTGCCGGACACCCTCCTGTGCACATCTCCCGTCCGCACATTTGTAATGCTCAAAGTGTTGTATGGAATAAAGACAATTGCATTGATTAAAGAGATTGTTGATTGAGCATTTATACACCGAGTGTTGTTCTTCCTTCAGCCCAAAATTCAAAGAGTTGGTGTATTTAATAAAAGTCCACTGTGTGTATAACCAATGCAGTCAATCTTAGCAACACAGATTGTTAAAGCTGAGGTGTGTGCAGAGAGACAAACCGTGAAACTGTTCATGTGATCTTGTGTTGTGCTTGAACGGTGCCAGGCAGGTGCTCCAACCAATCAGAAGCATTCATTATTCCAGTGACAAGGACAGCATACCTCACCAGCTTCTCAGCATCACAAACACCAGTGAGAGAGTGAATGAAGGAGTATACGAGGAGGAATAATTCTGAGATGTATTTCGCTGTGTGTGGGGTGCTTTTTTATTAACGTGCAGGTGTTTGTGTATGTGTAAGCATATGTCTGCATGACTTCTAGGCAAAACTGCCTAATGCCTGTGTGTCAGTGCACTAGGCACAGGGGAACAGTGTAGAGCCCACACATGCCCCAGGCACCACACATGGCCCAGCCACTCGCTGTGCCTATTAATCCTTCACAGGGGCCCTTGGCTGGGTAATGAGCCTCTTAGGATGGCAGAGAGCCCCCATGTGACGAACCTGATTGGAGCTTACGGAAGAGTACAGAGGGCCATGGAAGATCATGCTCTCTGGGATCAGAGACAGTTCTGTCTTAATTACTGTCCTGGTCCTGGTCCCCTCGGTGCTCTAACTGCACCCTAGGAGCCGGGGCAGATGCCCAGGGCCTTCAGGAAAGGCATGGCAGTCTAGTTATGGGGAGCAGATCTGAACCAAGAGATTCTAAAAGGGATGTGAAAAGATGCAGACTGCCAACATCCCAATCCCACTGGGACCAGGATTGATGGGAATGCAAACTGAATGGTAAACAAGTATGGCATGATATCTTGGTTTTAGTCTGTGATCAATTATGAATTCCCAAAGTGAGACCACAAAAAGTAAAACCTGTTCAAGCAGCAGTAACACATACTGCTTAGGAATAAAAGTACTGTACCTCCAATGACGCCAATGCAGAAGTAGAGATAAGCGATGGAGCTCCCAAAAGATGCGGTTACCATAGACACTCCACACATCAGTCCACCCATGATGACAACTGGTCGGCTCCCAAAACGATTGACCAACATGCTGCTCACCGGTCCTGCAAAAACAGATGAGCACTGAGAACGAGCAGTACATTCTTGTATTATGTTACGTCTTAATGTCGCCAAAGTTTTAGTAATCCGGGTACCTACTACTTCAAGGTAAACTGATGGGTCTAAACCAGTGAAATTCATCATGTGATCATAGGGCTAAATTCTGCCACACAATTTTGTAATGAATAGCTCATTAAACAAAATAAATAACTTAAAAGATGAGTTTCATGTTTTTTTTAATGTCTGTTCATTTTATCTGAAAAGCATTATTATTTGCACATTAGCTGTTGAGCATCCCTGATCTAAACCAAGGGCAAAAGGACATCACAGAGGGTGACAGAAGACCTCCACAGCAAAGCAACCTGGCAACTCATTAAACATTCCCCTGATAATGTAAAACACTACACCCAGTGATCAATCAGCAATTAAAAAGCCTTTTATATGCTGTCACTCTTTCCTTCATTCATAACCTTGCCTGAAAGAGTGACATTGAACCACAAGTCATTCTCCAGAATAATGAAAACCTCTATATTCTTATTGCAAACTACACAGGCTTCTCGAAAAAAAAAAATTAAAGGAACGGTTTGAAAACGCATCAGATCTCAATGGGGAAAAAAAGATACGTATTCTGATGTGGACAGTGTTAGGAATGAAAAGTTCACACATCATTTGAAGGCAATAAAAGTGATCAACCTGCCCCCCAAAAATCAAAGTGGAAAAAAACAATGCAGCAATGATGCTCAGTTGTATGTCCCCACATTACCCTGTATGCATGTGTGACAACGTTGGGGTGTGCTCCTAATGAGACAGCGGATAATCTCCTCCCAGATCTGGACCCGGGCATCACTGAGTTTTAGCAGTATCCTGTTTTAGCAGTTGTCTCATTGTTGCCCCTCTAGTGCAGCTGTTGTTAATTTCATTAACACCAAAGTGGGTGAAACTGATTAACAGCCCCCTCTGCTACTTACCTAATCAATATCCCAGCAGTTTAACTGAACTGATGCTATACTCTGATTAAAAGCTGTTCCTTTAATTGTTTTTAGCTGTGTAGTTCAGTGGTGGTAGCAGTGATAGATTAAATCTTTTTGTTCCAATTTCTTTCATTTTTGCACTAGCAATGTGATCCTTAAAGAGCCATTAGCTGAAGACATTGCATATCTCAACATGGTGCAGTTTGTCCAAAAAGAAATCTAGGAAAACTGGACAAGTAGAAGTTGTGTCCTTGGGAAATAGGGAAAAAGCATTCTTAAGGGAGGCCGAAGGGAGAAAAGGCTGAGGTATTCCCAGTTACACAAGAACTGGACTTAAAATCAGTGGCAACAGGTCTTATGGAGTGATTCATCCAAATGTGAAACTTTTGGTTCAGATCAATGAGTGTCTACAACCAGTGGAGGCTCTGTTATTGTTTGGGGCTGTACATCAGCCAGTTGTGTTGGGCATCTTGTCAAAACTGATGGAATAATAAATGCAGAAAAGCATTAACAGATTTTGATCCACCACACAAAGCCGTCTGGAAAGTGTCTGATTGGCAAAAACTTCATTTTTCAGATCATGATCCAAAAACACACCTCCAATGCAGTAAAAACATACCTGAATTTAAAAAAATAAAAATACAAACTCTCGACAGAAAACAACAAAAGGCAGCCAAGATCCAAACAACAGCTTCAAGAAGCCTGGAGAACTATTCCTGAAGACTACTTAAAGAAATCAAGAAAGCGTGCCTAAGACAGATCAGGCTGTGTGAAGAACAGAGGGGGTCATACCAAATACTGACATTCATGCTTGTTAGAATGATACAATATTTATTCTTTTTACCATATATGCTCTATTTCCATGTATGATTTGACATGTTTTAATAAATTGCTGCACCTGTGTCCCATTTTTCTAGCAAAATATAAAGGAATGAAGGGTGACTCAAGACTTCTGCACAACACTGTATGGGAAATCAAATATCCACCCAGCTGTTTATACAGTTACACAGGTTCAGAGCAGGGTCAAAGATAGATCATCGTTTTCGCTGTAGCCGTGTCACAATAGGGCATCTCTTGTTCTACCACCGTATCCATTTCCATTATAAGTTTATCATTGTGACTCGTTGAGTCAGAGGTTTCCTGAAAAGGCTGTCATGTCTTTCCCATGGGGGCCTGGTGTCAGACCCCACTGTGCTGAACCTTCCTCTGATATATTCCCCTCTTTCCTTCTCCTCCGCTAGGTGACATTGTTGAATCCTTGCCAAGGACAATATGATAAAGTCCTGTGCCTGAGCCACATTGGAGGGGAATATTTCACTAGTTAGGCCGCTCTGAGTTGAGTGCAGGTGAGTAACATAGCGTGCTGTCCTGCAACCTTGAAAGCAGATACTAACAAACTCAGGTTAAAAAAAAAAAAGAAAAAAAAGAAGAAGACAAGAAGAAAATCACACTAAATAAAAACTCAAGATTCTACTTTTTTCTTTCAGCAGTGAATAAAATATTTATGTCTTCACAAAATCGTAGAGAATACAGTTTTTGTTACCTTTATTTATTCTCAACGTTAGTATTTTGAAGACAGTATATAATATATCTAAGTAGGGTCTGATTTGTGACATCTGACTTCACTTCTACAAACCCAAATGTACAATAGATGTCACATGCAGTGGTGCTTACTTCCATAAATTCCCTTTGGACCTCAGTGAAGAGACTTAAATTTAGGTCAGGTGACTTACATGGAAGCAACGTTCACTTTATTAGGCAGCGGGTGCAGTCGCTCATGTGAAGCCAGTTATACTCGTTACTGTATTTCTCTAAATTACAACCATACACAACAGTCGTGCCTTTGCAGCAGACACAGACACCACACAAACGATCTTTATGAAACTGGGATTTTTGTGTTTATGATGCTTATCGCCAAGTACAAATGCACAGAGCAGACTTCTCAAAATACTGATCTGTCTGCTGTCGGCTGGTTTGAAGCTGTGCTTTAGTAATGCTTGATGCAACTTCTTACAGAAGGTGTAGAGAAAGTCTGATCAACAGACCACGATCGGTGCTAGTATGGGGTGTACGTGGTATGTCAGAGCCCTAGGACAACTAAATAAAACACAAAAGAACAAGAGACCAAAAAAAAAAACTCAGTCTGGTTAACCTGCAGGCTATTATTTACCAGCCAATACAAATGTGTTCTCTAGTAGTGATAAGAGTACTGATTTAGAGGTGCTGACTACAAAAGGTGTGATGGCCTAAAGGTATGAGGCCACACTACACTGCATTCCAAGCAGCTCTGGGTTTGAGATTATCATATTTATGCTAACCAAGTGGTTTATTGATGTAGCATCACAGCTGACAAAAACAGACTGCAGAAGACTATTCAAATTCAATTCAGTTTTATTTATACAGCGCCAAATAACAACAACAGTTGCCTTAAGGCGCTCTATATTGTAAGGTAAAGTCCCTACAAAAATAAAGCATACAGTAATGCTAACTATGTGGATAGGAAAGCTTAGAAACAGTTTAACCAATAAAGCACACACAGAGTCAACTCACCTCCTGCATACATGGCAGCTAGCATAATAGAGGAAATCCATGCTATTTCACTGTAGCCAGCCTGCAAGTCTTCTTGAATGTCTTTAAAGAAAATGGAAAGGGCTTTGGGTGTGGAGTAGGCAAACCCAATGGAAATATGGGCCCCAATCACAACCATCCAGCCCCAACCGCCATCCAGGGGCTTGGAGCCCAAAACATCTGCTGGAGCAGGAGGCATGTTCCTGTTCAGAGTGTACAGTATAGGGGGACACAGTGTTACAGTCGCTGCATGCATGAACAAAGCAGTACAATCTAAGTAAAACACACAAGCGCATATTAACTAAAAACGAGGAGTCGGATTTCAAAATAAAAGTCTCAACATCATTCTAAACTTGCTGACAGGTAGTTGAGACATGGACTCACACCGAACTTAAAGTTTGGGCTGTTTTCAGATTCTGCGACATGCTAGACCACACCGGCCATGTTTGTAAACAGAAGCGGGGGAAATAACCCGCAAAACTACGCAACAAAGCAAGCTCTTGTGTAATATACTGCTGCTGCTGTTGGTGGTGGTCATCATAATGGGAAATGTGTGATTTCTTCCCTAGACGTATTAAAATACAGCAAGACCCAAAGGTCTGACACTGCAATTCCACATTAGAGTTTTTTACAAGCCAAGATAACTTTTCCGATCACTCCGTCTCGTTAAACCGTTCCGCGCAGAGTGGGGCAGGAATGCTACTCACCACCACGTGGACAAAGAAACCGGTTAACCAGCGTGTGTGGATATACTGCAGAAAGCCTGACTGCATCTTACCGTTCACTGAGCGTCTGCGCAGCCTCTCTTTACGAAGTTCCTGACCAAAGTTTCACCAGCCTACAGCTTTATTTGACTGCTGGTCACATGTCGCACACATGGGCCCGAGGTGATCCGATTCACTGAATCAATGGGACATGAGCTTTGTCTCCTCTGCGTTTTTCAGCCACACTGCTGTCTGCGGCGGCATTCAGTATGACAGCCGAAGGAAAAACTAAATTCTACAACTACTAAGCTATTACAACAGGAAGAAAGCTGTTACGGCTGTGTGTCCTTTACCTTTGGCAGACATAAAATGTTTTCATGTACCTAATGATGGTTTTCAGGCGTTTTCCAAGCCAAAATGAGTTAATCTGACCCATCTGATCTGATAAATTGAGGTCATAATCTAACTACTCAAGATCCGCCTCTTCTACCCGGTGAAATACACACAGACTGGACACTTTATTAGGTATAGCTTTCTAGTACTGGTTTGGACCCACTCTTGCCTTCAGAAGTGCTTTAAAACTTTATTGTACAGATTCAACAAGGTGCTGGAAATATTTCTGATCTCAAATGTGCTTTACTGAACTGAGATCTGCTAACTGTGGAGGTCATTTGAGTACAGTGAAGAAAAAACCAGTTCAAGATGATCTGAACTTTGTGGCGTGGCATATTATCCTGCTGGGAGCAGCCATCTGAAGATGGGTACATTATAGCCATAAAGGGATGGATATGGTTGGCAATAATACTCATGGAGGCTGTTGGTGTTTAAATTATGCTCAGTTGCAATAAGGGGCTCAGGATGTGCCAAAAATAAATAAATAAATAACCCTGACACCATTACACTACAAACAGCTGCCTGAACTGTTGATATGGGGCAAAAAGGATCCATGCATAGACCATGGACAGCAAACTCTAACCCTACCAAGTGTCACAGCACACAGCATAATCTTCCTGTTCTTAGCTGACAGGAGCGGTCTTCTGCTTTTCTAACCTATTTGCCTCAAGGTTTGACATGTTGTGCATTCAGAGATGCTCTTCTGCATACCTTGGGTCTAAAAACTGATCATTTAAGCTACTTTTTTATAATCCTATCAACTCAAAGAACACTAGGCATTCTCCTCTGACCTCTGGCATCAAGGCATCATCCAATAGTGGACACCTTCTCTTTGTTAGGCCATTTTCTGTAAACCCTATAGATGGTTATGCAGGAAAATCCCAGTATTTCAGTAGTTTGAAACACTGAAACAAACCTATCTGGCACCAACCATTGCACACGCTAAGCCATTAAAACCACCCTTCTTCCCCATTCTTATGCTCAGTTTAGAGTCCACCAGGTCTTCTAGACGATGTTTGCAAGTCTCAAAGTGTTAAACTACTGCCATGTGATTAGCTGAGCAGATAAGTTACATCTGTTCAACTGCTCACTAAGTGTCCAGTGAATGTAAATGACCTGGCATAGCTTTCCACTATCTGTGACACAGCAGCTACAGTATAAGTATCAGAGAAGTTCAAGGTAGGAAACATTTTTAGGATCAAAAATATCACAGTGGAACACAACAATATACAATTGAGGTCCAAAGGCCTCAGTCACTTGAAAGTTAAAAATAAACAGAATAAAAATAAAACATTTCACTTTTAATAGTTTTATTTTCAAATTATGTGCAAGGTGAATTTCACAGTTGAGCTCAACAACCACTATAACCTGAAACCCAAAAAAACCAAAAAAAAAACCCAACAGAAAAATAAATGGATTAAAAAGACACAATGGAATAGCACCCATAGGTGATGCATGAAGATGACCAGAACGAGCTGTGTTTGGCCGCACAGGGCAGCCAACTCTTAGGAGAAAGCAGGTTTTATAGCTTTGTGTATTACATGACTGGTGTTTGAAATATGTTGTAACAATGCAGTTACTTCAACTGTAATGCTTAGTTTCAGTGAGATGTTCCAAAGATACTACTGTACTACGAGGTGGAGGGGGGCAAATCAAAATATATCACTCGTGCGGGTAATTTTTTTTTCCCCCTCAACAGAACAGGATTACTCTATTATAACTAAACAGATAATTATGTAAAGAAAAAACAAAACAGCCACTAGAGACAACAAAAAGAAATCACATCTATTTTTCAAGTTATAAAAGAAACTGAAGATAACTTTAAAAAACTGTGCAAGTACAGCAAATCTATAGTACAGTATATTACACATAACAAAAACAACTTAAATACAGTACTGGGTATCAGTAGAAATCCTGAGAGTTCTCCGTTCCTGGTTCGCAAATGGCTGTCTGTGGACAGTCGAGTGAAGCCCAGACCCACTCTGACCCTTTTTCGTGGGAAACATTGTTCAAGCTGGGTTGACTAGAAATCAGGTTAAAGTCAGTCAACAGTGAATCTTCTCTCGGAGAAGTTAATTATATCCTCAAGTCCTTAATGAATGCGACTTTTCCTGTATTAAATGCCAATGTAAATCTCTTAAGATGATTGCTATATGGTTGCTAAAATGTTTTCACTTAATAGGAGGGCACTCCTTGCTTAGATAAAATACACAAGAAATGTGTAGTGCAATGATGAAACAGGAACCTGCGTGAGGAAACTGACGGCACTAAAAATGTCACACTTTGACAGCAAACGCCCTCCAGTGGTGGCGTTCTTCTGTACAAGATTGTCAAAAAAAAAAAAAACAGAAAAAAGCACCAGCGCCAAAAGTTTGTATCCTCTGTGATGACGTGTAAAGACGGATTCATAGCTTTACGAGGGTGCTTCGTAAAGTTTGCAGTTAAGGACCGCTGAAGTGGCGAATTATTCAGTGCAACGCTGAGTAAGACTTTTCAGATATTCTTCATCAGGAGGAACAGTTTTTGATTCTGATGCCCCTTTTTTTCTAGCTGCAGGCACATTGGCATCACAAAAGATCTCCACGAAAAATCCGCATCACTTCAGCCAACAGCCAAACAATCGTTATGGGTACTACTGATCTTCGCTAGCAGAGACGAGCACACAAAACAATTAATGCACTTTTAATAAGGTAATACAATGTAATATAGCCTAATCACAGTTCCAAGATTTATTGCTACCACAAAATCCGTTTCCAACTTCCACGACAACTATAGTAAGACCTCAAATGCTCTTTTGGCATTACGAGGAAGGCTATTGGAACCCTTTTTTTCAAGCGTTTAATAACCCGGTGTCAAAGAACAAACTCAGAGCTCAAACTCAGAGCAAACACTTGTTTATATCAACACAACGGCCTGAAATGTCCCTTTGCTCCTAATCAAAAATCTCTGAAGTTTCTGAGGTAAACCTGTTGGTCTGAATGAGCCACTTAGTGTTGCAACAAATTTGACTCCGTCCTTGTTTCTCCAATGTGGAGAGTGAATATTCTAACATTTCACTTAATGGATGCCAACTCAAAGCAGGAAAAAAAAAAAGTCTGGAAGCCGCACATAGTGTATGTTTGACACACTGACACCTGTGGAGGAAGAGTGGGCAATAAAAAGTTACCATTTAACTTTCAACCTTTAAAAACACTAATGTCAATCACAAGCACACTTCAAATTAAAACTTGCATATGAAATAAACTGAAGAGAGGCATAAACGCAGAACAGGAAAAAAATCCACACAAACCTCAGAGCCAGCAATCTACTAATGACCTAAGGTACTCATCTTACCCGTATGAATATATCGTTTATATGACTATTTGTATATTTCTATATCTATATAGAGTTTCACTTTATGCTGACACATAGCATCCATATCTCCAGAGGCAACACCCTCAGTTCCATGCTTATCATTTGTAAAAATTCATACACACATTAATCAGCCACAACAGTAAAACCATTTACAGATAGCACTAATACAACCCAATCCACAGAGGCCCCACCCTGCAACTCAGGGGTTTTAACGTTGTGGCTGACTGGTGTATTTATGCACCTAACACAAAAATAGAACAACATGGCTCGACAACAAGCAAAAAAAAAAAAAAATAGTATAATTGCACTTATGAGTCATTGTACGGTTTTGTTAAACAAGCCTCAGTGTGGGTAGTTGGTGCTTTCTTGAAGAAAAAAAAAATACTGCAATCTTTAAAAGCACCCCCATTTTGATCATTTTAAACCAGAAGTTGAACAACTTAAGACTTAACCAAAAATGGTGCATGTGGTGCAAACCCAAGGTAACACCAGGCACAAGGCAGGCAGGACCACACTATCCCCCCTCTGCCTCAGAGATGGGGTCCACAAAATTCAAATACCTCAAAGCACTTTCTGGAGACACTGTGGATAAAGTTTGGCCACCACGCATTCAAAATGGCGGCCCAAATCCCAGAGGCGATCGGGTGTCTCATAGACTTTGGTCCATACATCTGCCTCATCGTCATACTGGTAAAGGGAGTTCTTCCTGCTAGTGCGAAACACATGCTCCTCCACCATGACTTGTGTAGCTCGTACAAACAGGTGTAGCTTGCCTTGCAGCAGCATGGCCTTGATATACGGGCTTGTGGCTTGGTCAAAGGGTAGATCTTTCTTGCGGCTCCATGTGTTCTTCTCAATGTCGTAGACCTCCACAGTAAAAGTACGCTGGTGGTTTCTGCAGATCCCAGCTATGTAGTAGATGCAGTTTTTATACAAGGCAGCCAGACCCTGACTCCGAGGGACACTCATTGGCGCCAGATGACTCCAATAGTCCTTACGGGGATCATAGCAGAAGAAATATTCACCTGTGCGAAACAAAGAGACAGAGTTATGATCAGATGCATTTAAATGGTTTTCATATGCAGTATGTCTGTTGTATTAATATCACTTTATTTACATATTTTGTACAGATAAAAACAAACAAACAAAAAAAACATAATTGCATAAGTTCCCCTGAGCACAGAAAGACTCACCTTGGAGGACGTAGATACGGTCTTTGTACTCTACAGCACTGTGAAACTCCATGGCCACTGGCATTGGACTGACTGCAGTCCAACAGTTGTCTCTGGCATCATAGCACTCTACTGATTTTAGTGCATTTCGCCCATCACCTTCATAAACACGGCCTCCCAGTGCATACAGCTTCCCGCAGCAGTGCACAAGCCTGCATCCAATTCGGGCTCTCAGAAGAGGTGCACGTGGAAGCCATCGGTTGCCTGCATGCTCGTACTGCCAGAAGTCACTCTCTGCTCGATGGTCTATGGACACCTCGCTGTTACTCGGACGGTACCCACCAGCAATGTAGATGTCATTTTCTGGGGACACCAAGATGCCAACCTCCCGGAGATCATTAGGTGGTTTGCAGAGTTTGAACACCCTTCCTGTCGCCGTGTCCAGACAAGGCACCGTCTGCTTCTTACCTGAGTGTTTATGAGCAGCATCAAAGCAGATGACCATCTCAGAAGCAGTCATACCCAGGCGCTGTGGACAACCATTTGTGCCAGTGAGGCGAGCTTTGGCCTCAGCAGAGTCTGTTGAAAGGGAGAGGGCGCAAGCAAAGGGGGGAGGTATCCGATTGAGAAAGGCCTCATCCAGCAAGGGCAGACGGATACACTGGGAAAAAACCTCAGCTAGATGAGTTTCACGGCCAGACAGATCATGCTCTAGCCAGCGGACAATGCTCTCATAGACATGCTCTTCCTTTTCCACATTGAGGTCATCATTATTCAAAATGCTGACCAACTGCTCCTTGGTCATCTGGAGGAACTCTTGCTCCCGTGATACACACAAGAACTAAAACAAAAGAAGTTTTAGAGTTTCAGTTCAGACATTACAAAGTTCGATGTCAATGTTGTTGACTGCCACTGTTCCAACAAAAATAAGACATTTGCCAAAAGCAGGAACTGTGTCACATTAAGTCTTTAAGCTCTTGATGAAGACCTGAAAGACTATAAAACAGTACTCTAAATTATTTATCAATTCCCCTGGCCACTAAACAAGGAATACATAAAAGTAGAAAAAGCCATAAACACAAAAAAGAAATAAAAAAAATTATATCAGTCGTCTACCAAATTATCATTACATATTAGTACCAACAAAGAAATTTAACACTCAGTACATCCTTAGTTTTTTGGCAGCCAAATGTCCTGGTCATAAAGAAAGCAGAACTACAAAAGTAGATACCACAACATGTCTAAAAATTGTGGTATAAAATAGCTGAAGGCATTCATTACATCACAGTCCAAAAGTAACGGTTAATAACCAATTTAGGCTTATGTTCAACTGACCTTCTTGCGGATATAATCCTGTGAGCGTTCCCTCAGTTCCTGGTGCCCATATGCATCAGCAAACATAAAGACTCCTATACAGTTCTGAGGGTCAAGTCGGCTGATCATGAACTGGGCACACTGGTCCTGCAGAGCAGGAATCTGGAAAATGCTGGCTGCAGTGAATAGGGCCTGGACATTAGACTCAGAGAGCGAGACCCTGGATGTGTAGGCATAATCTAGGACAAGGTGCATGGATTCAGATTCCACGCCAACAATTCGAACCTCACGCTGACTGCTCTCTGTAAGGCCACTGGTGAACATGGACCTAGAGGAACATTTGAAAAAACACAAATTATTTTATGATTATTATAAATTCTCATCTTAAAAACTGAGAAAGTTTATCAGAAAATCGTATTTTCTAGATACATATGCAGTGCTTAATTTCCTACCTAAAATATGGGCTGATTGCAGCAAGAACATTTCTGTGGCATGAGAAAGTCTTGCCATGGTCCACTTCTACAACGATGTCTGTGAGCTGTGCTTCATCGTACAAGGCTTTGAGCTGCTGCAGGATGTTACAAGCATGAACAGCATCTACCCCATTGTAGTTGGTGATTGGAAGCGTCCCATTTTGTACTTGTAACAGCTTCCCTACCTCTGAACAAGAGCAGAAACAGAAAAAAATATTATTATCATCTCACTTTAATTTTTTCAGTCAACTCTAAACACATGTATAACTGACATGAAAACACAAAATGCTTCATGTATATACCAAAGAGCCCCAAAAATTAAGGAAATGCTGCAGAAAAAAAAACTGCCTCACAGACACTCTAGATATGCAAGCTCTAGTTTGCTACAAACGAATATCACATGCAGTATGCCAACAAAATATACTGTAAGAGAAGAATAAAGACAGTGCACGAGGTATGAGTATTTAAAGCACTTTAATCTCAGTATCTTTAGTTGTTTTGACGAATGCAAAGTGTCAATTTTGAGAATGAATCAGAAAAGAAAAAAAAACCCAGATCCCTTTGACTGAGTTAGCATAAGACATAGGTCAGGTCAGGTCCAGAGGATGTCTAATGACAGGTACCTGAGGTTACCTGGGGACACAAGATCAGGAGAGTTGTAAACAGGTTGCAAAACCACACATAATCACATAATAATGATAATTACTAAATTCTTTAAACAGTAATACAGCGTACATAGTCAACAGTGCTCTGGTTTAAACACTCATTTATGTAGAAAGATTTTTTAAATTAAAAATTAATAGATTATTACAGAAGAAAGGACTTAAATATGATGTTAACATACCTGACAATAGCAGCCACAGCTTCTGATCTGGAGCTACCAATTCTTCTGAAGTTTTTGTTTAGCTGCCAGTGTAGAGCTCTGTACCATTTGCCTACTCAGTTTATACAATGTGCATTTTTAATACTTAACTGCTATATAGTCATTTGGAAGAGCATCAATACCAACAGTACCGTCTTCAGCCCATCCAGCTGACACACAATTTTACAAACCAGCTGCAGACAAGCAGCCATGCTTCCCTCATTAGCGGCTGAACACATGAAAAACGCGAGTATGTCTGTGGTCTGGAGGTATTATAAAGTTGATGACAACAACATTGCCATTGTGAGATATGTAAACTTGGAAAAGCGACCCACTTCAGTACTGGAAAGAACATGCTAATCAGCTTCCCAGTATCGACCCAGTTGCAACCCAGTATCTCATGCCCCCTTTAGCTCTGTGGACAGTGAGAGCCTTTTTAGTGCCGTTGCAAACGTCCTTGATGAGAACAGAAACAGGCTCAAACCTGACAAGGTAGAGATATTAGTTTTCATTAAGAGAAACATACTATATTTTCTGCGAAACTTACTACTGTGATGACAGTAAGAGTTAGGAGTGCAGTTCCTAAAAGCACATTACTGGCTTTGCAAACACTGTGGATCTTTTATTTTTTTATTTGTTTACATGCCTGCCGGATATTTTAAGTTGAGGTGCTATTTGTTTTTATATTAGACTTTTTTTTAATATTTACTGTGCACTAAAGTCCATAAGTGAAGAATTTATTTTATTTATTACTTGATTGTTCAAGCTACCTCACAAAAGTGCTGTGTTTGTTAACAGAGCTGTTAAATGTTAAAATAAGGTGAATTAAATAAAAAAATGAGGAACATCCAGGATCTGTTTGTTCGCTCTTCTTTATTCTTTTTTTTATGTATTATAGAAGTATCGGATCGGGACTCGGTATAGGTAGACACTTAAAATCAAATGACTCGGACTCTGACTCTATGGCAAAAAAACATGATCGGGACATCCCTAACATGAACAGTAGTTTAATCTTCACAACACTGAACATCTCTTAAGATAAATGTTAAGAGGTAATTTAAGTTCCCATCAGCAACATCAAAGTATTAAACATTTATCATGAATATTAACCTTGTAGCCACACACATCACCACTAACTATTAGCATTTACATAAGAAAGGCACTAGCTGTGCGTTAAGTTATCATTAAGGTAATGGCTAGCCAATATGACTAATAATAAAAAGATAACATTAATGTAGCAGGTAAGCAGCAAATGTAATCAGTCCTGCTCATGTGTAATGTTATAATAGGCAGTGTTAGTTAAAGGTGTCTATATAAAGTGTATATAGGCAGTGTGAAGTGTTTGAACTGTTTCTGCAGCTAGACAGCAACAGCAGCAGTTAGAACCTAGCAGACTAACTCTACTTGATCAGCAACAAAAATATAGTGCCAAGTCAAAAGAAGCAAAGCACAATTTCAGACAATCTTAAAATATCTGTCATATTTTATTGTGGGGTTTTTGCACTAAGTTCAATAATATAGAAACAGTGTTATCATTGATGTTACAGTTTGTATTGTTGTCAGTTTTTTCATTTCATTTTCTTTCTCCACTGGCATTGAAGATGGGATTTTCTTAGACAGTGCTATTGAGTTTGAATTTCTAGTATCATAACTACTCTATAAAGCACACAGCCTCTAACCCACTGCCTAAGAGATTTCAAAATATCTGAATTTCCTTAGTGTTAGAGCTGGGCGATAGAACGATAACGATATGTATCGCGATATAACTTTTACTCGATAGAGAAATTAAGCTATCGCGATAGACCTCGCCGCTCTTGTCCTCAAAAAAAAAAAAAAAAAAAAGGTCAGCCAATCCAAATTAAGTAGCGCAGAGCCGAACCAATCACAGCCGCAGCGTCACGTCGCGTGACTTGTTACGTACAGCACAAGTGCCAAGCCCCACATGTGTATTTGTTTGGGAAGCAGCCAGCGGGTAATGGTGGAAATGAGTGTGCCGACTAGAAAAATCAACCGAGGATGACCGAAGAGAAAACAGATGATGGTTCCAACGCCGGAGAGATTGTCAAACAGAAGAGCCATAGAAGTTCCGTAGTGTGAAGGTATTTCGGCTATTTCAAGTCTGACAAAAAACAGAGTAGCGTGCACTGTAAATTGTGCCGAAAGCAAGTCTGGAAATACAATAAACTGGTGCATGCGTCACACTGTGCGCCACGTTATTGTTTCGGTGAAATAAATTTCTACAATACTGTTACTGTTAATTCTACTCTCTGCAGTGTTTAAATGCTTACATATACACACAGTTACTGTCCGTCCACACATACGACTCGGTTCTGCTTCTATGCCCCAGCTTTGTTTACTTTTTCCCACCGAGGCTTCTAGACTTCTGATTGGCCAACATTTCTGCACGGTTAGGAATCTAGCGCCACCTGCTGCTTTGGCATGTTCATAGCAGCGTTTTCCTTCATTTCTGCCTTTATGTGTGGACGGGATTATTTTTTAAAACGAAAACGGAAAATCTCCGTTTTCAAAAATACCCGTGTACGTGTGGACGTAGCCTCAGTCTCTGACTGGAAGCGCTAATTCGTCATTCGGCTTTTGTCAGACTAAAGTAACTGTTAAAACTGTTTGAAAAGCTCAGCTATACAACAAGGAGAGATTGAGAATTTCCTTTTAGTTCTCAGTTTATTTGATATTGACAAAAGTTAGTCAGTTTTGTCTGTTCTTCTGTAAAACAAACTAAGATTTATTTTTAGAATTAATATTTTGTTTCTAAGTGGAATTGACAATTTAGTCTGTTTTGTTTGTTCTATTTTGAAACTTAAACGCTTTAGCGGCTGCCTTTTGTGTAGTTTGCAATATTTGCCTTTATTTATCTGAAAAAGTCTCATGTTCCTTAAGTACATCTACCCTGTTGAACTTATTATGGAAAATAAATATTTAAATAAAAACAAGCTGCTGATTATTTCACATTTTACTTGTGAGCAACGGCACATTTAAATCTTACAAATATAGTTATTTGGCTTATATCGTGATAGATATCGTTATCGCCTGAAATGAGAAAAAAAAAAAACATATCGTGATATGAAAAAATCTCATATCGCCCAGCTCTACTTAGTGTAGATGACTAGAGTGTAAATACAAGAGTTTCTGTGATCTTACTCAATCCCTATGTTTCACAAACTTTTAAGCAACACTTACTTGGAGATTATTTTAGACATTGTAGGTAAATATTGTTACTTTTCTAACATAAAAATCTTCAAAAGAAATACAAAACCTTCTAATTATTTTATATTATAAAGCAATTTCCAGCTGCTCCCTTGTCACAGGGGGCCACCAAAGTGGGTAGCTTCACATGTTTCTAAGCTGGATGCCCTTCCGGCCCCCAAGGGGATTTATGCCTCCTTCTGGGATTAAACTGAGGATCTTTTACTTGTGCTATGATATACATGATATGATATACAGTTTTATTTTGGATTTTAAAGACATTCAAATATATAAGGAAATAAACTCAAATGACAAAGAAATGTGCATTACATGAAATAAAAATTAATCAAAGCCCAAACTGGAGTACAAAGAAGTATGCACATGCTTATGCGTACCCCATGTTCAACACTGCCAATTTAGCAGGATCACCATTGTGGTACCCTCATATACATGCATACACTTGACCCACATTCATATTAGCATAAATATGAACCAATACATCTTTATACAAACATTAATTACATATTATTTAAAAAAAAAAGTCAACTGAATAAAGCTTGAACATTGCAGTTGTTCCATAAATGAAAATACAAAAAACAGCAAAACTGAGGGATAGTTTTTGTTAGGTAAATCTCTAAACCACTATACTATGGAGCCACACATTCTTTTTATAGTGTAATAACATAAATAAAGTGTGGAGTGTGTGAAAACCTGATGACCAAATTTTAAGGATGTATGCCACCTGGATTAAAGGTCCAGATATAATGACTGATACAGCTGTATAAATATAACTATTTCCTGCGCTATATTTGCTTGTTTCTAAACTTGTACCGAGAGATTGTTCCCTTTCTCTTATACTGAATGAAAGCAGCAGGACAATACATGAGCCTAGAAACTCGTGAGTACAGCAGTGCTGCCCTTATAAGCGTACACAAAGTGAACGTCTTTCTTATCACATGTGTTATATCAAGTTATAAAAGTGGCACACCAACTTTATGACTGCTGTAAAGCTTCACTTTGACTTATACGGTATACAAACTTACAACAAATGTCTCGGGTTGTGCAATGCTGACAGGACAAAGACTCTCGGTGGGTAAATAGAAAACTACTATCACACCAGGTGGTAGCTAGCTTGCTAACATCTCTCATCGCTGCCCTGTGCCTGCAGTAACGGTCTGGTTAGCTAATAAGACTGAAAACAAACTTGAAGAATAGACACTAATGAAGAGCGACGCTGTACACAACTTCGCCTGAATGCTTGTGTTTCATAAAATACAGTAATGCTCGCGGTTGGCTTAGCTAGTTGAGGAGCAAGCTTAACTTTTAGCAGACAGCTAGACACCAAGCTAATGCTAGCAAAGCTTTCTTTGACACAACATTGCGAGATATAAATGGCGACAAAAATCTGAAGTGTTTTAAGTGTTGACGTCTTCATCTTATAGAAGCATAAGAGTGTGTAGCGCAATGTCTAGTGTATTCGTTTGATGACTATAGCCATTACTACAACTTGTCTAACCTTTGTCTCTTGTCATAAACAAGTGTTTACACAGTCAGCTGTGGCAGCGAGCTAACCGGCCGAAAGTTAGCCACACAGCTAACGTTAGCTACATAGCCGGGCTAACGACAGCCAACAGTTTTGAGGAGTCGTTTAGAACCTGACCTTATTTAATGAAACTGCAACATGTCAAGACCCCTTCGTTTAATCTGTAAAGCTACGCCTGGTGAACACATAAACTTACATATTCTAACTTTAAAAAGCAATATTTAAGTACACAAAACAATGAAGATTTTGCTAACCTCCACTGGCAGCCATTCTCTCCAGTCTGTCTCAGAGCAGACCGACAGAAACGTCAAATGAGTGCAGAGCGGAGCCCCGGAAACAAGGATCAGCCAATCGCAAGAGGAGAACGGATCTCAGAGCCAATCATTTTCCTTTTTTCTGAAATAGGAAAAAGTTAATACTGCATGGATAAATTACACACAGGGCACTCGGTTAGAGCCAACCAAAAGAAGTCAAATCAGCAGTATCTAAACAGGTGCATCCAAAGCAGAGGTTGTTTTCATATATTGGTGGGAACAGTGGAGGTAGACATAAGTTCACCTGCAGGCAAAAGGCTAACTGCACATGGGGATAAACACATTACAGTAGCGTCTTATTCTACAATGTACAACATGCTTTTTTGGTTTGCAGAAGAGTGCTGTTATTGATTTATAGCGCTGAAATGAAAGCTATTTAGACTTCATATAAATAGTGCAACATGAACGCTGAAAAAATAGATGAGTATTTTTTCAGTGTAATATAATAAGAAAAAACATTGCATGCCATATAAAAATATTGTACGCATCAATTATATTATATCGACATAGATTAATATTGCTGGAAAATATATTTTTAAATAGCAAAGATAATAATGCATTTTACTATAACAAGTGTAGGCAAAAGACTCCACATTCTTGACAACCATGTGGTGACACATGTTAAGAGCCATAACCAAGATGTTTTGTGGATTGTGGCATCCTTGCATTTAGCCAGCAGGATGGACACATTTATGTTATGTTCCAATGCAGATCTTGTAGTAACATATGCCATAGGAGGCAAATGTTCAAATCAGCGTGACAGCGTATATTTTGAAGGTTAATCAACATTCATTGTGACTGCATGCCTAATTCTAGACATATGATCTGTTTCTAGTACTTCAATATCTTGGGGGAAAAGTCTAAACACCAATGAAACACCCTACAATCCAGTGTTGCATTACCTTTATTGTCTTAATAAATAGTAAATCTGCTGTTAAATTGCATGTCAGTGATGGGGGCCACACGACTTTGTTAGTAGATAATCCCTTGCACCTCACATGCAACCCTATGTAAAATACATTATCAGTAACAAATACTTTGTTACTGTACAGAGCAGTATCTGTACTTAACATAAGGTTTGTTTCTGACCAGCTTTTTTACTTCCTTCGTTTTTAGACAAATATCTCCTTTCTACTCCTTACATTTTCATTACTTGTTTATTACTGTAGGTTAAAGACATTTGTGGGCAGTTATTATTTCATGTCACTGCACACCTTCAAGTTGATTTGAATCTGAACAGAGGGAACAATAACACACAGAAGACAATTTCTGGTGTATCTATCACCAGTTATCAGGATTTGTGATATGGTAACTATAAAATAAAGAAATGTCCTGTTTTGCAAGTTCCCTTATGATCTGCAGCATAGCACCTACTCTGTGTTTGATACTTAATCAATCTAATCCAGTCCTTTGTGGCCACTTAAAATATGTTTATAGAGCTGTGATGTTAAACAAATTTCCCACGTGTGGGACTAATAAAGGTTATCTTATCTTATCTTATCTTATCTTATATTTGTTGCCATTTCTGCTGCCCTCTTTTTCCTCTTACCTGGATACGTAAAGGATATTTAAAAGTCAAAAATTGATTGCAAATTCTACTTTGTGATACGAATAATCTTTCATTGATTTCAAATGCAGATTTCAAACAGGTAAACAAATATAAAAAACACACACAAACTGTCTTTCTGTGCAGTTTCTAACTAAATGTATAGTTGCTGTAACTTCACTCACAGATGGAGATGGGGTTGAAAGAAAGACACGACAGGAGAAGAAGAAGAGATTGTTATTAAAGGGTAAGACTGCTCAGTGACATTTGATAGTCTAGAAGGTTAAAGCTTCTGTAATGTGCCATTTTTTGGATGTTGGATCTATACCTGATGTGCTGCTGGATTTCTATTTCATATTGTGAAATATCTTGCAAAACAAAGTGAAGTGTACCTTATCCAAGAGTAGCAGAAATCCAATTAAATTTAAGGCGATGATGCTGATTATACCAGCTTGATACTGCTGGTAGCTGCGGCAACATAACATATTTTTATGTCTGGTTAAATTGACAAAAGCAGTGAATCTCAGAGCAGCAACAACATAAGTCAGCATCACAAGTCACAGCCTGTACACAAACTGTACAGGCGCTCACAATGCCAATCTTAGGAACCTGCTGACTCACTTTAACCTGTGACTGTACAAATTTTTCTGTTCAATGCATTTTTAAAAAATTCTCTTGGTTTTTCTCTGCTTATGTTCAGCATACATTGATTTGATTCATTAGAATTAGAATTTTAGTTGAAATACTTCCCATGTATTAATATTATTTTATTAATATGACACAAGGTTTAGTCTGCTTTGCAGAGAAAAACACCTGGTAGAAACGTCCTCAAAGAGCTACTTTTTACTTTTACATTCGAGTACATTTCAGTGTCTATACTTTACTGAAGTGACAAATATTTGTACTTTTGCTACCTCTGTACGTAAGTTAACATTCATGTTAAATTATCTTATTTTACCAATTTTGGGAAGGTGCTCCTGCTGCTGGCCTGGATTGAGCCAAAGACTGATTGTATCCTCTGTGAAATCCCTGGTTCACGCCAAGGCCATATGCTTCCATGTGTGAAACCTTCTAAAATAATGACTTCTATTTATGGTTAACCTGCCTTTGCCTTATGTGCTGTCTCTTGGCCTCAGTGAAATGATGCCGACCATTCTTGTTACTGTGTGTACGTGTTCTAAGCACAGTTTAGAGCTCAGTACTCAGTATTTCTCATGTATTTAAATAGCCAAGAAACATGGCTGCCGGGTCAGAGAAACAGGTGCTCACGATGTCACAAAAGCATGATGATGAAATGGCTTCAGGTTATTGCCACAGTTGTCCTCATACACCGCACTCAGTCAGTAACTGCAGAGTCCCAACACCTTGTAAATGATGCTCTAGGAACTTCTTCAAGATCTTTATCTGTCCTGAAAATGTTCTCCAGCTATTTTTTTGAGCATGTCCTTCGTGGTTGCCAGGTGCTGAAGAACTTGCAGGAAAGCTAACTGTATGTGAAACAGTGGAAATGTTGTGCTGTCGGTCAGTTACTACATCACACCTTGGGAGCAGGTAATTGTTAGGTTGAGGTTCATGAGCTTCATCTCCTCCAAAAAACACCACCACTGCCCTGTAGACATCCAACCAGCTAATGAAGGCTGCTCCCCTACACCCTGAGGTGCAGGCAGGACTCTCCCAACACTCAACCACTAACTAAAAGCTACATCTTTGCTCATTTTACTTTCTTTTCATTTGCTTTCTGAGAGCAGAAGGTCCTTCAGTGGGTCCACCTCTCATTGCTCTAAGGCCAGACACACAAACCCATACCTCAGCAGCCTGCTCTCATCGCACCCCCCACTCGCTGACCCATTTTTACCCTTTGACATTTCCTGCTCACACATGGTCACATGTACTTTGTTCCCACTCTCCATCTCATCTTCACTCCTATAACTTTGAGTGCTGAAAGGCTGTGAAAGGCTGGAAGAAAACTACATACAGATTCATGGATAGGTTATCTTACCATTTCCTAGTCTGCATGCAGTACACATTCACATCTGAATGCCACTTGAGTTCAAGACATACATTTCAAGCACTTTGACACATTGAAAAATACATTGTCATTGTCAGATTCTGTACATTGTCTTCTTTTAGATGTGGTCATTGAGCTTAACATTGAGGGAAAGAAGGCCCTTTTCACTTTCTTACTACTCTTGTCCAGTCGTCTATCAGCCTGTTCTGTCTGTGTCCCTTTTTTTTCAGTTCGCCCCTCCTTCCCATCTCCACCTCATTCAGGTTGTAGAGAGGATCACAATCACAGTCTCCGTCAGACATCTGCTTTCTCTTCTTCACCAGCATCAGTGGCTAGACTCCAGGGGAGCCCTTCACCTATCGCTATCAAAATAGTTCAGTTCTCCTCGTTCGTATACCTGTAATACATTTGTTCTGCTTTCATCCAAATAATATCTCCTTATTGAAATTCACATTTCTCAGTTTAACACATCAAACGAGCCTTATCGCAGCGCTTCATTTCTGCAGGACACACGTGTTAGAGCAACAGGACTGTGTTGCTTGAATGGCTTGGCAAACTATGTGTACTGTGGTTGATGTTTTTAAAGTGGGGTAAATTGAGTTTTAATTCAGTCTGGCATGTTTACGCTTATCCTTGAAAAACCAGGTGAAGGTTTGATTAGCAATGACAGTAGATGAAAAATGTCTTCGTGCCATAGCAAGTTTATATATACATATTTACACTTGAATTTTATTTAATATGTGTTTATCTATACTTTTGTTGTCTAATTGGCATGTTTTTTATTATTAAATCACTTTAAAATAGTGATTTTCTATGAGAAAGATGGGTATATTTGTTGCCACAATCCTATCCTTCTCTGTTTGTATTCACCCCACACACACACACACACACACACACACACACACACACACACACACACACCACCACCCCCCACCCACTTTCCACCTCATTTTTTAATCAGATAAATGAGGCTTGATGGCAGAAAATAAAACAAACGTTCAGCCTCACGCTGAGATTTAAGTCTCTATTAATTTATAATGTTGGCCAATTTTTAAGCCTTTTAATTCCGACATTGTGTTAAAGGGTTCAGATCGATACTGTGGCATTACTTACTGATTTATGGCTAAGGGTGCTGTGTTAACATAAACCAAAATAAATATGTTCTTGGGGAAACAACCATTTTTCTCCTGCAAATAAAGTCAAACTTGACTATTTCATTGCACTCTCTATTATTATGTTGATTACATCTTTCATGCTCTTCTCATGCTGTCAGCAATAATGAGGCAAAGCCCTGGGTGGCCGTGGCAGTTGATAATTTGCTGTCTGTCTGAGCTGAGATGGGACTTTGCTGCAGTGGGTCATTTGGCATTCATGTGACAGCACCTGCAACCTCAAAAGAAAT